GCCGACTTCGGGACACTGAAGAGGTAATATGGTTATATGGGTGTATTATTAGCTAACATTTTGCTACCTGCAAGGATTTGGGACTCTGCCTTGAAAGAAACTGTTATATGAAAAATATATTAAAATGTAATGAAATTCTTAGCAGCATGATTTATAAGAGCTCACACCTGGAAACAATCCAAATGACCATCAACTGTAGATAAATAAGTTGTAGAATGTTTATGTGATAGAATGCTACACAGCAATAAGAGTGAATGATCCATAGCCACATGGGAAGCTCTGAATGAATCTCACAAGGTGGAGTGAAAGAAACCAGATCCAAATGGGTACTTACTGAATGATTGCGTTTATAGACAGCACAAAAACAGGCAAACTAACCCTGGCTGGGTACCCTGGGGCTATGGTAACAGCAGGAGACTGGGGTGGAGGGCCCTGGGAATACTGGAATGTTCTGTTTCTTAATCTAGTGGTGGATACAGAGCGGTTTTAAGTCTGTGAAAGTTTACTAAGTAGTACACTTTACATGTACACTTTTCTACCTGTATGTGTAAAGGAGACTGTTTCTCGTGTGTTTCTCCTTCACTCTCACAGGGCTACCATACTCTCAACACTTCCCACACCAGCCCATTCTGTGACACCAGCTGGGTGTCCTCCAATTTAAGTCAATTCAGACACTGAGACGCTGTCTCCCAGAGATAACATCAGATCCCACAGGTTCAGGGCTCAGTCCTGTAAGGCAGCCCCGCCCCCTTTCTGCTGTCCATCTCAAGTCCAGGTTGGTACCTCTGCTTCTGACAGATTGCCTAAAAATCAGATGTTCCCATGACTCCTCCTTTGGGTTCAGTCAGTTTGCTAGAGCAGGTCACAGAACAAAGGAAAACAATTTACTATAAGCTTATTATAAAAGATATCATAAAGGATACAGATGAACGTCCAGATGGAAGAGACGTTTAGGGCAAGGTGTGTGGAAAGGGGTATGGAGCTTCCCTGGCCTCTCTGAGGGTCACCCTCCCAGCACTTCCATGTGCTCACCAACAAGGAAACTCTAAACCCCATACTTTTGGAATTTTTATGGAGGCTTTATCACACAGGCATGATGGATCATTAACTCCACTTCTAGCTCCTCTCTGGAGAATAGCGGGGGGGTGAGACTGGAAATGCCAAGCTTCTACTCATAGCTTGGTCTTTCTGGTGACCCGCCCCCACCTAGGAGCCATCCAGGAGCCCACCAGAAGTCACCTCATTAGAACAAAAGACACTGCTTTCACCCAGGAAATTCCAAGGGATTCAGGAGCTCCTGTCGGGAAGCAGGGTCGGAGACCAAGTATCAGCACAAAAGATGCTTCTACTGCTCTCACCCAGGAAATAACAAGGGATTTAGGAGCTCTGTGCCAGGAACCAGGGACAGAGACCAATGCAGGTATTTTTTCCTTTTATCTCACAGAATGTTATACCTCAATAATTTTTGCTATCCTTTCTTCACATAGCACCAGATTAGCACCTGGCACACAGGAGGTACTCAAACATTGAAAGGAAGAAAATGAAGGAAGGAGGGGAGAGGAGGAAAGGATGAATAGCTTTAAGAGTGCTGGCATTGGGTCAAAAAATTATTAAAGATTCTGAATTCTTTGTATCCTATTACAATTTGTCCTTTGCTAACATCCACTTGCTTCATTGTGATAATGTGTATTTGGACAGTCATCTCTAGCTTACAAAGCTGGTTCATTTCATGCTTTCATGTAGTCCACATGGCACTGTGAAAAATATAACATCGTCACTGGGAAATCTGGATGTTGTCCAAGCCTTAGATTAGAAATAACCTGGCTGTTACTCGGACCCAAGTTTTCTGACTTCAAGGGGAGTGACTAAGTACTCTACAAGTGCCAACATCAGTGGGCAGTGAGCTCGATGTGTGGGTTATGGATTGCCATCCTAAAGGGACGTTTTTGAGAGTGGAAGTAGGTACCATTCATTATGCTGGCGCAACAGGTGTAAATTGGGCTGGGCTAGGCGCATCTGAGATAGTCACCCTAACTGTGGATGAACACCGAGTAGAAGTTAATCCTCCTCGTGGGCAGCACATGTCAAAAGACCTTTACCAAGCCATGGAGATTATACATGCTGCCCCTGGCTGTGTTTAATGAGTTTTTGATCAAAGTCAATAATCAATACCTTAATAAAGAGCAACTAAGATTTGAAGTTTGCTTTTTGTAAGAGGAAGGTCACCTGCTTGGAGAGGTTGATAGACTGCCTGCATGTGGGGCAAAGTGAAGTGTCATTCTTCCTTTTGTCCTTTGAACACCAAATGGCATTTCTTGGTCATGGGTCCAACACAGTGTGAGTAAGGTAACATTGGGAGCTCACTGTAATTTTATCTTCCTTCTTGAAGTCTTTTATAATGTAAAGATAATGAGTGGATCTGTGAGTAAACTCATTACTAGGAACAGTCAATACTTGTTTTCCTGTGAAGCTTCTGGTGATTACATTAACTGAATAGAGGGTTTTCTTTAACTACAAATCTTTCAATATACAGTATTAGCAATTTTAAGTTAGAGGTCACTGACTTGTAAAGATGTTGATCTTAGTTTTTTTTTTTTAACACGTTCCGTTTCTGCAAATAAACAAGAAAATTTCAGCTTCAAATAGAAGGCTAAATCAATTTCTCAATTATATGTTTTAAATTAACCTGCTAGCTCTCAAACAGGTGAAAACTTCTCTTAATACTCCTAAATACATAAAGCATCAAATATGCAGATTTAATACAGAAACATTAATATTATGTGGTTGATTCTCTTCAACATTTCTGTACTTAATTTTAAATCTTTCTGAGGGTAAAGTTGTTTTCCAACCAAGAAAAAAAATTATGTCATATCAAGTCATTTGGGGAGATACTATTTAGCCAAATGAGACTACATAACGACCAGAGACATTAGCAGAGGTGCTGACTGTATTCTTGTCTGGGGCACCAATGAGTCTTTTCACTTGGTTAAATACTTAGAAGCAGATTTACTGGGTTGAACGATAAATGTGCATTTGACTTTCTAATAAGCTGCCATTTTGTATTCCTACCAGCAATATAGTGACAGCCCCTGTTCAGCATACTCAATAGTATAAGAAATTGTTAGTTTTTAAATTTAGCCTTTCTAATTGGTGTGTAGTGATATCTCATTGTGGTTTTAATATGCATTTACCCTAATGAATAATGATGTGAATATTTTTGTGTACTTATTGTATCTGTGTCTTTAGGTGAGTGTCCATACAAATCTTTGGTTCATTTCTTTGTTGGGTTGTTTGACGTACTAATATCGAATTTTGAAAATTCTTTTGTCCTGGGCTTGTCTTTTCATTTTCCAAAGAGCATCTTTGGAAGAACAGAAATTTTGGGATGCTTGGGTGGCTCAGTCAGTCAAGCGTGTGTCTTTGGCTCTGGTCATAATCCCAGGGTCCTGCATCAGGCTCCTTGCTCAACAGGGAGCCTGCTTTTTCCCTCTGCCTGCCACTCCCCCTGCTTGTGCACTCTGTCTCTCTCTCTGACAAATAAATAAATAAAATCTTAAAAAAAAAAAAAGGAACAGAAATTTTAAATTTTGATGAAGTTTAATTAATCAATTTTTTTGATGGATCATACTTTTGGTATCATCTTAGAAGTCTTTGCCTAACCTAAAGCTATAGGATTTTTCTTCTATGTTTTCTTCTAGAAGTTTTATACTTTTAAGTTTTAGATTTGGGTCTGGTCCATATGAGTTAATTTTTTGTGTAGGGAATGAGTTATGAATCGAGATTATTATTTTTTTTTGCATATGGATATCCAATTGTTCTAGCACCGTCTGTGGAAAGGCTATCTTTCTCCTTGAATTGCCTTTGCGTATTTATAAAAAAATAAATCAACATATGTGTGAATCTTTTTCTGGACTCTACAATCTGTTCCATTGATTTTTTATGACTACCATTTCTCCAGTACCATACTGTCTTGACTAATATAACTCTATTTATAATAAGCCTGAAAATCAGATAGTATGTTAGGTTTCACTTAAAAAAAAATCATGCTGGAATTTTGATTGGAATTGTATTGAACCTGTAGATCAGTTTGGGTAGAACTGACATCTAAACAATATTGAGTCTTCTGATCTATGAACATGGTTTGTCTCTCCATTTACTTAGGTCCTCTTTGATATCTTTCACCAGTATTTTGTTTTCAGCCTATAAAACTAGCATGTATTAGATTTACCCCCAAGTATTTTGTGGGGTTTTTTTTTGTGTGCTTTTAATTCTTTTAAATTTCAGTTTCCAATTGTTCATTGCTAGTATATGGAAATAGGATTTTTTATAAAAATCTGACTTCTATGAATTTGGGATGTCTCTAAGACCACACTCAGATTTAATAATTCACTAGAAGGACTCACAGAATTCAGCAATGTTGTCACAGTTGTGGTTTTTTACAGCCAAAGGATACAGATTAATTTTAGCAGTGGAACAAGGTTCTTAAGGTAGGGATCAGGAGAGGTGACATGCAGAGCTTCAAGTTGTCCTCTCCCAGTGGAGTCGAGTTGTGTGGACAGCATTCATTTTTTTCCAGCCACAGTATGTTACAATATGCAGAGTATTGCCCGTCAGGGAAGCTCACCCAAGCCTGGGCGTCTGGAGTTTTTACCGAGGATTGGCCAGGCAGACACAGCTTATCACCTGTGGGGCTGACATCAGTCTCCAGCCCTTCCAAAGGTGGGGCTGATTCCATGTGGCTCAAGGCCCCCCTCATAGATCACATTGTTAACCTAGACCACATGGTGTGGCAGAAGGCCCTCACCCTCAGAAGACACCCATCTTGAATAGACCTTTTGTCAGCTGTATGCCATAGCCACCAGCAAAACAACCAGACAGGGAAGTAGGCGCCCCCATACCCATGAAGTTCCCTCTTCCAGACTGCCCTGGCTAACCTAGATAACGGACTGTGGGATTCTCCTGTCCAGCATCCTAATTCCTGCTCTTCTGCTTTAATTTAGCCAATGAACCCATGACACATTGGACATCCTAGCCTCAGACCCCGGAGGCAGAGCCACGCTGGAGCCTGTATTCCTCCTAACGAGCCCCGCAGACGTTTCCCTCACTGGGGCCAATGCTGTAGTGAGACCAGCCTTGGTGGTTCTTATGATCGCAAGACACACATCAGCAAAAACCTTCGGGGAGCTTTGAGGAACAAGATTCAGTACCCACAAGTCCTGGAGGGTACACAGCATGCCTGAAGGCCAAACAGGAAGATGGTGGGTAAGGAAAGAGAGCACGGATCTGAAGCTCTGCTTTCAACTTTGGACTCCTCAAAAACTTAACAATTAATTAAGTAGTTAAGTAGCCCACTGTTGACCAGAAGCCTTACTGATAACAAAAAGAGTCAATGAACACATGTTCTTTATGTTATATATAACATATACTGTATTCTTACAGTAAGGTAACAAAAATTCAACTGAGTAAATTTTAAAGATCTAGTTGGCTTTATTAATCAATTCATGAATTGGGCATTATCCCATCTAGCAAGTAGAGGGGGGTTCCAAAGGGCTACAGAAAAGAAGTTTTTAAAGTAGAAGAGTGGAAAAAAGGAAATAATTAGCAACAATCCACTGTTTTTTCGGCAAGGTTGCCCTCCTAAGAGGCATGGAATATCGGTAAATTTCCTAGTGCTCATCAGGAAATTCCTATGTTGACGGGTTAAAGGTTGAAACTGCAGTGAGGGTAGGGACCAAGTTAGTCTTGGTTTACTGACTTGAAGTCTTAACCTAAGTGGCATCAGTTTGGGCCTGTGGTTTGCTTCTTAGCAGTAAGCTAGAGAAAGGAAAATGTTATTAAGAAAATCCCCTAAGGGGGGCGCCTGGGTGGCTCAGTCGTTAAGCGTCTCCCTTCGGCTCAGGTCATGATCCCAGGGTCCTGGGATCGAGTCCCACATCGGGCTCCCTGCTCTGCGGGAAGCCTGGTTCTCCCTCTCCCACTCCCCCTGCTTGTGTTCCTGCTCTCGCTATGTCTCTCTGTCAAAAAAATAAATAAAATCTTAAAAAAAAAAAAAAAGAAGATCCCCTAAGGAAGAGAAAATACATTTACAATACTGTACCATATTTATCAAAAATAATCCATGTGTAAGTGGATCTGAGTGGTTCAAAACCATGTTGTTCAAGGGTCAACTGTACCTTCATTTATTCCTTCTTGAATGTTCTTCCTTTCTATATGTAGATCCAAGTTTCTGGCCCATACTATTGTTTTATTTCTCTCTGAAGAGTGTAACATTTCTTTCAAAGCAGATCTTCTGCTGACAAAATCCCTTAGTTTTCTTTTCTTTTTTTTTTAAAGATTTTATTTATTTATTTGAGAGAGAGAGAATGAGAGAGAGCGCATGAGAGAAGGGAGGGTCAGAGGGAGAAGCAGACTCCCCGCCGAGCAGGGAGCCCGATGCGGGACTCGATATGGGACTCGATCCGGGGACTCCAGGATCATGACCTGAGCCGAAGGCAGTCGCTTAACCAACTGAGCCACCCAGGCGCCCTCCCTTAGTTTTCTTAATCAGATAAAATCTTTATGTCTCCTTCACTTTTGAAGGATAAAAGTGTATCTGTTTTGCTTGACACAGAATTCTAGGTTTGTGATTTTTTTTCTTTCAACACTTTAAATCTGTCACTCCGCTCTTTGTCTTGTTTATGTGGTTTTTGAAGAGAAGTCAATGTAATTCTTAGCCTTGGTCTTCTAAAGGTAAAGTGTTTTTCCTCTTCTATCTTCTTCCAAGATTTTCTCTTTGTCTTTGACTTTCTGCAGTTTGGATATGATATGCCTATGTTTAGATTTTTTGGTATTTATCATGCTTGGTATTCCCCAAGCTCCCTGGATCTTTGATCTCATAGCCAAGAAGAGGTTAGGAGGACATGATGACTAAATTTAACATGGTATTCTGGGTACAGTCTTGAGAACAGAAAAAGGGCCTTAGGTAAGAAATAAAGAAATATGAATAACATGGACTCTGGTTAATAATCATGTATTAATATTGGCTTACAGTTGTCACAAATGAGCTGTACTAATGTAAGATGTTAAATAACAGAAAATTTGGTCTGGGGTGTATGGAAACAATCTATATTATCTTACCAACCTTTCTGTGAATTTTTTTTTTTTTTATGTATAATACATCATTCGTTTTTTGATGTAGTGTTCGGTGATCCTTTCTGTGAATCTAAAACTTTTCTAAAATAAAAAAGCTTACCAAAATAGTGGATGGCATAGGAGGAGTAATAGTTTTGTTTTGCAACCTAGGAAAAAGAGTTGGAGCAAACTCACAGAGGACTAGGACCTATATTCCTCTCTGGTGTGGGAGGAAGGAGATGACATTGGATTGGGGAAGGGCTGAGCCAAATTGGGGTGTCCAGCTTGTTTCTGCTCGGCTGTCTCCTGGCTCCTCCTGGGAAGAGCAATAGCTCCACAGAGCCATGTGTACTAGAGGGTGAGATTTGGCAATTCCTTGGTGCATAGGGTGGTGGTGTGCAAACTCAGATGCCCATAGCATCCAGTTAGGTGGTCCAGATGACTAAAGCAAGTTGAATGTAAGAACTGTGGGAGGGCTGGGAACTGTAGCAAATAGGAGAGACAAGCCTTACATGAGAGATCGGCTACTACTCAGTGCTGGCTGATTTTTGCTATGCAGGAAGATAAGCTCAGATGCCTTCTTTTCTGATATTTCAAAAGAAGCTGGAGATCCAGATTTTAAAAAAATTACATGGAATAGTTTGCTTTTTTTTGAATAGTCCACCTTTTTAAACATTGGTGACTATTTTAGAAAGTTTTTGTTAAATATCATGCACACCCAAACTGTGCTGAAGGAAATACTTCTGTGGACCCCACACTGCCAGTTTGCAACTATTCTCTATAAACCTGAGCTCTGATGAGCCATGTGGACCAATATCTGGGGGAGCCAGAACTTTGTCTGTAAAGTCTGTGACTCCCAAGGTCAGTCTAGGGGAGTAAATGTGTGATCTCCTCCTTGAAAGTTTTGGACGATGAAGAGAATAGCTGTATGGCATCTCTGGCAAGTGGCATGAGCAAAAGCCAGAGTTAGAACATCACAGGGTGTGTTGAGGGGACTGGATGATTAGAGTGAAGATTCATAAAGAGGGGAAGTTAACTGGGCTAGAAAGTTGGGTTGGAGCTAGATTATGGCGGTCCTGGGCATTTGGACTTTATGCTGTTGGCAACACGTGACTGATCTCCAGCTTCTCTGGAAAGAGCACAAGGCAGAAATCAGGAGCTATGATGAGAAATTGGACATTAACCCCTGGATTTTCCAGCCAGAAAGAGCAAGGCTGAGTAAATAAATGTACTGAGTGTAGTTAGAAAAATTGGATTCAGGTGAAAGAGACCATTAATAACAACCAGCCAAAGAGTGTTTATGCATATGCCCTTGTGTGATTATTTGATACATATATAACCTTTGTAACTGGGCTAGGCTGGCCTGTCTGGGCCCATCAGAACAGTTCCCACAGGCACCCCAGCTTAATACCAATAAGGAAGATTAGATTCATCCTCATTCTCTTTCCTCTCTTAGTGTCTCTTGACCACCCCCCCACCCCCCAGGGATGATTGCACTGATCCAGAGCTGCTGAAATGGGGAAAGAAACCTATGCCTGACCTGTGCACACAGCACACAGCAGTGATATTTGATGTGAGATTAGGTCAGAGTCAGCTAGGAAGCCTTCTTAGGTATGGTCACAGCCAACAAAATGAAAAAGGTTTATCTGGGGTGGGGGGGTAGTTTTTCCCTCTCTGCCTGGCTGTCCTTTCTCACCCTCCCTTAGGCATCCTTTCCTCCCATAAAATCTAGTCCATAATTTCTGTTTGAAACTCCTCAAATTCTACTAGACCACTAGATGAGCACATTCCACTCTCAACAATAGCATTATATTTCAAACTCTTATTGTTCTAATCCTGGCATTTTAATAGCCCACAGGAGGCTGAAATAACTACCCCCACCTCACCACCATCACCAAGGAGATCAAATATCATTTCTAGAATTTATTATAAGCCCCTTGTGGTGAACGTAGGACCCAGAGGCCAAGACATATTTTAAGTAGGATATTCCTAATGTTTGGCTGGTCCTTTTTTTTTTTTTTTAAGAATTTTTTGTTTATTCATTTGAGACAGAGAGAGGAGAGGCAGAGGAAGAGGGAGAAGTAGACTCGCTGCTGAGCAGGGAGCCCGATACGGGGCTCCATCCCAGGACCTGGAGATCATGACCTGAGCCAACGGCAGACACTTAACCATCTGAGCCACCCAGGCACCCCTGGCCGGTCCTTTCTAACAATGTATTAAAGTTGGTGTTTTTGTTACTTCCATCCATTGGTTCTAGTTCTGTTCAGTGAGGTAAATCAGAACAGCTCTAATCTCATTTCCATTGTAATGAAAGAGCATTTATTAATAACAGAAACTATGAGGAATCTTGAAAAAGTTGTTAAATAGTGTAAGTTGCTAGTGGGATCCTGTCCAATCCCTGCTCCCTTCCCAACAAAACAAACAGAGGGAAATTTCTCTTCCCTCAGAGGGAAAGTTGTTTATGACTTTGCCATTAAGATTTATAATGAAAACTTTTTTATGTGTATATGGTAAGAATGAAACTTTATGTGAAAACTTAAATAATGAACATTCTTGATATCCAAATGGGTGTTTTGTTTTTTTTTTTTTCTATCCAAGCAATAGCATGGGGAATGTCTTACCCTTATTTCAAATTTGCCCGAAATTTTTTTGTAATAATTAAGTAATTTTCAACATTTATCAAGGACTATTTGAAGTCAAGCATGGTGAATAAAGTGAATGTTTGAGACACCTGGTAAACCTTTTGGGGGTGATAAACAGGGCAGGAGTAATAGTAGGGACAGCCTTCATTAATGAGGTTCAAAAACAACTTGAGAAGTCAATTCACACAGGGGAACTCTAAAGGTGTTCTTGTAAGTGGCAATAAAGAAAGACAACACTAATGATGACTGGTAATCAAGTAATGCTGGATTAAAGAGTTACTTATTTTATAATCAAACTTCCTTTGCTCATATAAAAGTTTCTATTTATTTGTTGTTTCTTTGCCTCTGTGCAAAGAAAATCATACGAAAGGAAGGATCCATTCATTTGCTTAATGACTGCTAGTTGAGCACCTTTTTTATGCCAGGCACTAAGGGTAAGATGAACAACACTGTGGGTTGGTCCCTGCTCTCATGGATCTGTGGTAAGAGTGGGATTTAAGATCAGGGAATGGAAAAACAAAAAGCAAATCTTTGGGGCAAGCCAATTGGAAACCACTGCTATTGGTTAAATACGCCCACATTTTGAGTTAAATTTTTGCTTTTCCGCCAAACCATTATCCTGACAACATTATAGTCCTAGGAAGTATTAGGGAATGCAGTCATGAAACTGTGGCAGGTCTTGTGCCTTTATGTTTACATTGCTTGTGACCTTTGTGCATGAATGTTTTTGCCCACGTGGCCAGTCAGAAAATGATCTTGTTGACCTGTTTTTTTCCAGAAGACCTTTGACCAAATCTTTGATGAACAGACAGAAAATCATGTTTTCAAAAAGGATCTACCTACAAACAAAATTCTATAGTGGCATAATTTTTAAGTAAGAAATTGTACCAAAGTTGAAAAAAAAAAAGCAGTAGTGAGGGACCGAGTTAAACTTTTAACTTTTAGAGACTTACCATAGTGAGAATTTGACACTGAGTTGTTTTTCTTTGATTTGATGCCATAAAAAATTAGAATATACTCATTCATTCAACAAATATTTATTGAGCACCTACCACATGCCAAACACTGTTCTAAATGTTGAGACACAATAGAAAACAAGATAGAACTGGTTATCTTACAGTTTAATATACAACTACAAATTTTGAGGAGATACAGAAGAAAAATGGAAGAGAATACAGAGACCTAATGCAGGGTAGACAGGGAAGGTTTTCTGAGGAAGAGGTACCTTTAAATGAGACCTTGGATCTGGTCAAGAGTGAGGGGAAGAGATTTCCAAGCAGGAGGAGCTGCGTGTGGAACAGAGTAAATTGTGACTTTAATAAATTTCATATTGTGAAAATTTCGCAAAGTTCAGAATAGAAATTCAGTATCCCGTGATATTAGAAAATCTCATCACTCTACTCTAGACTGGCCAGAGATGTGTCAGGAAGAAAAACTTCAAAGAGGCGGATTTCATTTTTCTGGCTCGTAAACAAAATGCCCCAAAACACTTTCCCCATGCTTGAGGTCAGCTTATAATTACTCTTTTTCATCATCCCAGATACATTTCCAGACTTTAGTAATGTAGTAAAGCTTTTTGTCCTGCCTTTGTAAATAAATATGCTGCAGTGAAATCTGGTTTAAAAGGTGACACAAAGAGCAACCCAGGTCTTCAAAACATCGTGTAAATTTAAGGTACTGCCAAACCTTCATTAAAAAGAAAAAGAATAAAATCAGTTCACCAATGGCATGGTAGTGTGAGGTAGTAAAAGGAAGCAACTCAGACCAGACGCTGTAATTCATTAACAGGGCTGTCATTTGGGAGAAGGGGTGAAGGGTGCAGTGGCCAAGAGGTTAACATGCAGTCATACATTCTTTTCTTTTCTGTTGTCTCCTGTTCAACTGACTCTGTTATTGAGGACCATTTAGCTATGGCTATAAGTAAAACATATATATGTGTGTGTATGTTTTATAACATAGATGTATATATGTTATATATATACTTAACAATATGAAGAGTACCTGCCAATCTGGGATTACCAATAGGCCTTTACTTTGATAGACTTTTGGAAACGGGGTGTCCCTGAGCCCACTGCAGAATGGGGAAGGTGCTGAGGTGTCTCCATTTACTCTCATACACTGCTGAAGGTCAGGGGTCCCACAGTGGGTTGGTCAGCACATTTTGTAGATGGAAGAAAGCACATATGTTCTTATTCAGAATCTCAACTTTTAAAGGGACCTCGGAGAACATTTAATCTAAAAACTCATCTAATGTAGTGCAGTATTTCCTTAAAGTATATGTATAAATTGACTACGTGCCCTCAGTTCACTCTTTTTTCGAGGTAGCTAATTCTCTTTCTGACAGTGGCCATTTTTAAAGTTTCTTCCTAATGTCAAGGTAAAGTCCATTTTCCTTAACTTCCATGAGGAGCAGTAATAATACCATCTCTTGGGCACGTCCCCATACCAATGCCGTGCAGAGGGGCTTCCCATGCCTTGTTTCTAGTGCTCCCAGCACCAGTGGCAGGAAGGATCATCCTGGGCATTTTACATATAGGGAAATTGGTTCAAGGTCACACAGGTGAGAGAGGTGGATCAGTCTAGCTGAATCCAGAGCCTAGGCCCGTTCCTCAACACCATGCATAATTCTTGTTTCAAGTTTGTGTATTTGAAGGCATCTCTTAAATTCTTCTCAGTTCCCTCATTCCTTTCTCCTGTGCTGCGTACTTACCATTGCTCTCAGGACACACTGTGACTATATCTTTATAAAGGGTATATGTAGATGAATATAAAAGTTATGCATCCCCAGAAAACTGCACAGAGTACTGCAGTTGAGATGTGAGTATTGCCGAGAGTTCCTTGAGTCTTTTATTAATGGCATTTATTTTTAAACAGTAACAGTAGCATATTAATAAGACATGGATTTAGGTAGGTTTAACCCCTGGTTTTAACATTGACAAGCTGTTAGACTCTGGGCATTTTACTTCTCAGATTATTAGTTTTTTCATCTATAACAAGGGGATGATGATGATGATGTTACTTACTTTTTAGAATTGTTATGAGAATTGACGTAATACATGTAAAAATCTTAGCATGATGCCCAGCACTATGTTCAATAAACAGTAAATATTATTATTTCTTGATTTGCAGTAAACCAACATCCCTATGACTGTTGTCAAGCTAGGCTTCTCCTGTACCACATTTGTAAATTTGAATCTTAGATATAAATATGAAAAATTAAAAAAAATCTATATTGAATTTCATCATGGTTAAATTCTGGCCAGTAGTTCCAGCTTGAATGTCATTTGATAAATTAGTAATGCTTTCCAGTTTTGTGTTGCCTGAAAATTGGTAAACATATTTTCAGCATTTCATGCAAGTTGTGGCCAGAAGTGATTGCACAGTGAAGTTTATGTTCCCATTTAGTTAACTTATACCGTCTGTTTGCTCCCATTTACTTGCTTCCACTGTTCTCAGGATTTAGTACATGTTCAATAGTGACATGTAGGATTTTCCCCGTGCTTTTGTATCATACACTTGTTATATCCCCTAGTGATCCCTTGAGTTTTAAGCTGCCTCTGACCTATGGTTCTGTAGATCTCCTGATATTGACATAGCTGAATCTATTAACTAACTTCTAGAGTGGAAACCAGACACCTGGGGTTCGCCTAGCCTTTTCATCCATGCACTTTAAGCTCTCTGTGGCTCTGTTTTTATACTTGTAAACCTGAGCAAATATTTGTCCTTTCCTTCCTTTCAGTGCCATGGTGAAGATGAAATAAATAATTATAAAAGAACATTGCGTTCTTCAAAAAATGGCAGCATACCATTTACAGATAAATTCCTCATCCAGTCACTATTAAAATAGCTAAACAACTAAGTGTTAGCAAGAGAAGTCCCTGAGCAGCAAGGTAGTGAAGATGACGCCAAGCCTGTTTGTCATCCGCATTTTACTCAGAGACTCAGACTCATTTAAAGCTTCATTACATACTTATATCTGACAGGCTTGGCTCCTTCATTTCCTAGTCCATAGGCAAGTAGAGGTAGGTAAATTGAAAATAGCTAGGTGGGTAAATTGAAAGTACCAAAGTAGACAAATTGAAGGTAGCAAGAAACAGATAATCATTTTCAAAAGAAAAAGAGAGGGGCGCCTGGGTGTCTCAGTTGGTTAAACATCTGCCTTCGGCTAGGTCATGATCCCGGGGTCCTGGGATCGAGCCCCGCATCGGGCTCCCTGCCCACGGGAAGCCTGCTTCTCCCTCTCCCACTCCCCCTGCTTGTGTTTCCTCTCTCACTGTGTCTCTGTCAAATAAATAAATCTTTTAAAAAAAGAAAAGAAAAGAAACTTGAAAAGTAGAGAGATCTGAGACCATTAAGTACAGGGGAAAAGCAGCCTTGAACAGCTGAGTAGGTTCCAAGAACATCACTGGATTATAATCTAGTACTGTCATTGATGTTCGAAACGATCACTAATTTTTGTGTGGTACCTCTGTTTTTTCATGTGTCCAGCCCTCCTTCTGCTCTCTTTTGGAAGCAGCACTGTGATTGTGCTTTGGAAAAGTACCTTTCCCAGGTTGTACCCTGCTTCAGAGGAACCATCACTCGTGGTGCCCTCTCTTCTCCTGGGCAAGGTTAATAGAGCATCTGGTCTGAGCAGATCAGTTGCTTTCGGGCGGGAGTTTGGATGCCGAGCAGAGTGACTCACAGCTGTTGGGGCTGCTTCATCCTGGGATCTCAAATAGATACTTTATTCTTCCCTTCCACACAGACCCTTTGGAACTGCATGGTCCCTGACCTTTTCAAGATTGGATATCCAATTTTCCTTTAATTTGGGGACTACTCTGAAACATTCCAATAAAATACTTAGCTTAGGGCATCTGGGTGACTCAGTTAAGTATCTGACTCTAGAGTTTGGCTCAGGTCATGATCTCAGAGTCATGAGATCAACCCCCCCTGCCCCCATCCTCCTCAGCACGTCAGGCTCAGCGCTCAGTGTGGGGCCTGCTTGAGATTCTCTCTCTCCCTCTCCCTCTGCCCCTCCTCAACCCCGCACGAGCGAGTGCACACTCAAGCTCACTCTCCCTCTTTCAAAAAAGAAAAAACAAAAACCAAAACCAAACATTTAGCTTAAGTTAGCCAAAGTTACTTTTAGGCTGCTCAGTTTGTGATCTG